ACAAAGTACAAAGTATGAGATTGAAGGCTAAAACTAACACCCCCCCATAGGCGTCAATCGAACTCAGGGCAGAGAGGGTAGAGCACAGAGCCCCATGGCGCCAAGGAGACGGTGGTGGGGAACTTTCCCAAGGGGCTTTGTGAACAGATCAGCCAGGTTGTAGTCAGATGCAATGTATTCCACTTTCAATTGCTCCTGTTGGACAAGGTCACGGATGAAGAAATGCCGGAGTTCAATATGCTTGGTGCGGGTGTGATACACAGGGTCTTGAGAGATGTGGATGGTACTCTGGTTGTCACATCAGAGGGTGGGGGAGGACTGTGGGAAACCAAGCTCCTGGAGTAGGAAAGTGAGCCAACGGGCCTCCTGAGCAGCCATGGTGCCAACGTAGAGCTCTGCCTCACATGAGGAGAGGGAGAGTGCAGACGACCTGGTGGAGCGCCAACTGACAATTCCACTCCCAAGGGTGAAGCAGTACCCCTGAGAGGAGCGTCGGTCGGTCTGGTCATCAGCCCAGGACGAGTCGGTGTAACCTTCCAGGCGAGGAGGGGAGAGCCCACCGAGTGTGAGAACGTGAGACTTGGTGCCCTGAAGATAGCACAGCACCCGCTTCGCCGCCTTCCTGTGAAGATCAGTGAAGCGTCCAGGGGCCACGTAGCGAGAGAGGACACTGACAGGATAGGCCAAGTCTGGCCGGGTGCACATCATGGCGTAGATAAGGGACCCAACAAGCTCCGGGTACGGCTCAGAGCAGGCCTCTGGTGTGGGTACAGCTGGAGCTGTGAGGAGGTGTTGCAGCGGCAGCGCGGTGGCAACAGGTGTGCATAGCTCCATCTCAAACCGCTTGAGCACATTGTCGATGTAGAACTCCTGGGAGAGTGAAATGGTGCGAGCCTGGTGATTACGAGTGATCTCCATCCCCAGGTAGTGCTTGAGGTCACCGAGGTCTTTCATCTGCAGGGCCTTGCTCAGGGCTGCCTGGACAGAGGTCATCTGGGCCGAGTCCTTGGCAATGAGGATGAAGTCATCCACGTAGACCAGGATGTAGAATGGCTCAGAGTGACGGCGGATGAAGAGAGTCGGGTCAGCAGTTGAAGGGTGGAAGTCCAGGGAGAGGAGGACTTCTTTCACCTTGTTGTGCCATTCGCGAGGGGCTTGCTTAAGGCCGTAGACGGGGCGATTCAGCTTTCAGACAGTGTTGGGAGGGAATTCTCCTGGGAAGCCTTCAGGTCTGTCCATGAATACTGTCTCCTTGAGATGTCCTTGTAGGAAGGCGGATGAGGCATCCATGGATTTGATCTCAAAGTCTTCTCGAGCTGCGACATCCATGAGCGTACGAATGGTGGGAGGTTTGGATGTGGGGGAGAAGGTTGGGAAGAAGTCGCGGTACTGCTGCTTGGTGAAGCCCTTGGCTACGTAACGCGCTTTGAACACTGGGGCCTCGTCTGGGAGCTGTTTTACACGGAACAACCACTTGCCCCCAACGATGTTGACTCCTGGAGGAGGAGTCTCGTCGTCGAAGGAGTGGTTGTGGGTGAATGCTTCAATCTCCGCTTCCATGGCAGCACGCCATTTGGCAGCATAAGGGCCTGAGAGAGCCTCTTGGACGGTGAGAGGGATAGGGATGGTTGGGTTCTCCGGGAAGTTGAGGGAGGGTGAGTTAGTGATGACGGAGAAGATGTGCGAGAGCTGAGGAATGACTGCATGAATCACATAGCTCCTCATGCCTGTCTTCCCGAAAGGTAGAGGGCACATCCCCCCCAGTAGGAGGAGGCGGTGTGATCGCTGTGTATCAAAGAAGCAGCACTAGTGGAAGAGCAGCGCCATGCGAGCGAGTGCCATGAGCCACCAGAGAAGAGGGTGGGGCAGGCGGTGTCGGAGGGGTTGACTTAGGAGGCTTGGGTGAGGGAATGGGCCGCCGGTGGTACGTGATCAGCTCGGGCGACTGTGGGAGAGCGGGTTCCTCTGTGGTAGGGGGAACCGGGGGAGGGTGTGGGGCCGGAGGGTGGGACCGCCGATGGTAGGTGATAGGTGCGCTCGGAGGTGGCTGCACAGTCGGCGGAGTGGAAAGTGAGGGGGATGGAGGGGCAGCTGCCGAGGACACCGGCGAGGGCGGGTCAGAGATCTTTGAGGGGGAAGGTGCGATGGCAGGAGAGGGAGGGGGTGAGGGGGCCGGTGCAGGTGGGAGGTCAGGAGGCGCATCAAAGTCTGCCCACACGAGGGAGGGTGGAGCAGAGAGAGGGTCCCGTCCCGAAGTGGAGTAGAATGGGCGGGTCTCATCAAAGACAACGTCGCGGCTCCGGACCAGCTGTTGAGTGGAGGGGTTGAGGAAGAGGTATTCAGGCGAGTCGGCGTTGTGCTGAGGTAGATACACGTCTGGGTCTTGGGACCGAGCTTGCCGCCGTGCTGCCGTCGAGCCTGAGGGTTGAGGAGGACATAGGTGGTGCACCCGCAAACGCGAAGAGAGCGAGCAGTGGGCGTTTTCCCGAGCCTGAGTGTGATTGGAGTGGTGTCGGGAAGATGAGGTTGGGGGTAAAGGTTGTAGAGGAGGGCGGTGTGGTAGAGGGCGTACCCCCAGAGAGAGTGCGGAGCATTGGAGTGGCCGAGGAGGCACCGAGTGATCTGCACCAGGGTGTGGTTGCGGCTCTCAACTATGCCGTTCTGCTGCGGGCTGTCAGGGAGGGTGAAGTTTTGCTGGATGCCTTCTGAGGAGCAGAAGGCTTTGCGCTTGTCGTTGCAAAACTCACCACCACCATCCGAGTGGAGGCGCTTGAATTTACGGTCAAAGGTAGTCTGTGCCTGTTCAACCCACGCCATGAGGACCTCTAGAACCGCAGCCTTAGTGTGGAGGAGGTGAACAGAGATGTAGTGGTCATCGACGATAACAAGGAAGTAGCGATAACCACCTCGTGCGGGAACCGGGGCAGGGCCCCAGACGTCCAGGTGTAGTGGTGCTGCTGCGACAGAGGGTGAGGCCGGGTGGGGCTGTTGATGCAGTTTGCTCTTGGTGCAGTCAAGGCATGTGGGAGCGGGGGAGTCTGGTGGTGGAGGAAGTGAGGCTGGCAGGCCGAGTAGAAGTTTCTTGGAGGCCATGTCAGCAAGTGTGCGGAAGTTTTGGTGCCCGAGCCGATGATGGTAGAGTATGGTCGGGTTGGAGAAACTGCGGCACGAGCATGGTGAGGTGGTTGCCTCTGCTTGGGTGGTTGACATCTGTGGGATGGGTACTTGCAGCGTGTAAAGGCCGCTGCTGTTGAGGGTGAAACGAGTCAAGACCTTGTTGGTGAGTGGGTCGAGGATATCACCATAGTTCTCGTTCTCCCAGAAGATGGTGCGTAGTCCAGCTTCCTGAATTTCCGTTTGGGCCACGAGATTGTGGCAGAGTGAAGGCACGCACATTCCAGTGACAGTGCCGGAAGGGAAGGCGGGGCACGGGACTGTGGATGAACCCTTGGCATGAGTGTTGAAGCTTGAGTCAGCTCCTAGGAGAGGGATGGGTGTTGCGTAGGGTTTGAAGGAGAGTGTCTCCTTGAGTACAGTGTGAGTGGCGCCACTGTCGAGTGTGAACTCTATGTATTGTGGTGCTTGTGATGAGCCGAGGTACTGGGAGGAAGCTTCATTAATCATGGCAGTGCCTGGGAACAACAGGTTGATACGCACATCAGCAGGAGCACTATCACTAGCACTAGCCGAAGCGGGGTCCAGGACCTCAACCAGGTTGGCCTTACGCGCACGCATCCAGTTTGGTGGCCTCTTGTCTATACCGTGGATGGCGTACCATTCGTCGTCCTTCTTCTTGAAGCACGTAGCAAGGGGGTGGTTAGTGCCACCACACACTTGTCCCTTGCGGTCGCCATACTTGACGTCGTAGGTGCACGGTGGGAAGCGGTTGCACTGGAGGGGCGCCGAGGCAAGGGCTGCTGCGACACTTGCTTGAGGCATGGGAGCACGGATGGCGTAGGCCTTGGCTTTCTCCGTGGAGTCTCTCTCGGCAGAAAGAAGTGCGGTGGAGACATTGGCAAAAGTGAGGTCTTCCGCAGTCAGGGTGAGGAGCATCTTCCTTGTGATTTCGTAGGCTGTGGTGAGGCCAACAAGAAGAGCTGCTGCAGGGGCCTATTCAGGGAAGACTATGCCCAGCTCCTTGAGTTCGCCATGAATGGTCTGAACCTTGGCAATGTAGTCGGCCATTCCCGAGCAATCCTCAAGGCGGACGTGGAACATGCTGGGGATGAGGATGGCAGCTCCGACTGCAGTTTTGTTCATGAACCGATCCTGAAGATACTTCCAGATGGCGTTGGAGGTAAGGTAGTTGTGGAACGTGTTGACAAGTTCTGGAGGGGTGGAGGCGATGAAGACGCTGATAATTGAATCATCGGCCTTCTCCCAGTTCAGGTACTTCTCAACGGCTTCCTCATATGCCCTTATGTCAGCCTCACTAGCGGATTCGGTCGGCTCACGAGGGAGAAGGGGCTGTTTTCCCTTGCCACGGTTGAGGAGGACATCCTTGAGGTCCAATCCCTGCACGTCACGGCTCAGCAGGTGCTTGTCAACCACATAGCTCCATGCCTTGAAGTTGGAGCTAGAGCCATCGACTTCAAGACGGAGTGGGGTGATGGGGTTGGCCATGGTGGACGTGGTGAAGGCCATGATGGGGATCCCTTGGTGTCTCGCGCGAAGCGCCGCTCTTAAGTCACCGATAGGAACTTCGGACGAGCGGCGCGCACCGCGGCGATTGCGAAATCCGACGGACCCCAAATAGCAAAAAATCGTCAATGTCGATCGCATCTAGATGCCTCGTAGAAGGGTTTTTTAGGCCGCCAAAACTAGGTAAAATCGGCCGACTTCCGTGGATCTAACCCTAATCCCACACACCCCCCCACACACCACCCTCAGCTTCGCGGCTATGCTGCTGCACGGCTTCGCGGCTACTCTGCTGCTCGGCTGCGCTGCTGCACTGCTGCTCGGCTGCACTGCTGCACCTGTTCCGCTGCGGGAAAAGGGGAATGGGGGTAGAAGTGCAGATGCGGGGCGACGGGCGGCGGCCCGACAAGAAGTTGTGGGGCGACGGGCGGCGGCCTGACGAGAAGCTGCGCGGCGACGGGCGGCGGCCCGACAAGAAGATGCGGGGCGACAGGCGGCGGCCCGACGAGAAGCTGCGGGGCAACGGGCGGCGGCCCGACGGGAAGCTGCGGGGCGACCGGCGGCGGCCCGACAAGAAGAGGTGACGCGGTGACGAAATTGAGGGATGGCGAAAAAGGAACGATAAGTTAGAGCGACGTCGATGAGCATACCATAGAAATTGAAGACGTCGTTGAAGTTGACGGGAAAGTGGTGCGGGGGAATTTTCGCCCACGAATATCGCCAATCGACGACGATGAGACTGAAGGAGGCTATGCCGAGGTTTGCGGGAAGAACATCCGCAAAGATAGGAGGATCACGATCCGCATGTGCGGATGTAGAGCTTTGATACCATGAGAGAACTTAGGTTTAGAAGCGATGCATTAGTAATGAGCTTGAAGCTCTTTAAGTACATCCAAGCAGGGTAAGGAATAGTTGGGGAAGGGAATCAGAGGCAATCCCTAGGGATTGGGGGTAATCCCAAGGCAATCTCCAATGTGAAGAATAAGGAAAATGAAGAAGAGAGGAGGATTTGCACTAGCAGCAGTTGGCATACATATACGAAACCCTAATTGGGTTGTACTCGCTATAGAGTACCCCACTGCAGGCTAGACAATTATAACATTCTGACATCCAATTGGTGGGTTGGAGATTGCTTGGAGATTACATTTGGGTTTGGTTGGGATGTAGGTGTACACCCAACCAAACACAATGTGAAAACTACCCTACTCTACGATATAGCGAATACAAAGTACAAAGTGTGAGATTGAAGGCTAACACTAACATCACCAGTGTGCACTCCTTTCTCCTTGATCACAGCTGCAGCCTTGACTTCACACCCCCTGGGTCCTGCACCATTCTTCTCATCACCACCTGATGCATTTCCCTTTTCAGCTGCTGCAAGTCGAGCATTCACCAGATGCAACTGCTCCACCAGCTTCTCCACAATTGCCTTCAACTCCTTTACTTCCGCAGCAGCTATTGCAGCACACTCTCCCTTGCAGCTGCAAACTACATTCTGCTTCACAGGTACCACCTCCTTCCATGGCACCACCGGCACATGCCACAGCTCCTCATGTAGGTCTTTTTCCTCATCCCACAGCACCCGGCCATCGAGCTGTCCCTTAAACGTTTCAGCTCCTTTAGTTGCCGTGCAAACACCTGCAATCCCCATTTGCATCAAAGATATGAGGTTCCCTTTTAGTTCCGGCACCAAGAGCACTTCTTCTAGGGAGATCGGCTTCCCATCAGCTCCTTTAAACACTGCCTTGCCGACTCCCATCACATTCATCTTGTGCCCGCATCCTGAACACATTTTATTCATGCTTGTTTTCCCAATCTCATCCAGCAAGTCCGCCCTTGGGGTCATGTAATTTGCTACTCTGGATTCTAAGATCCAAGTGTTGAGAGGAGGAGGCCCTGCTCCCTTCTTGGCAGATGCTTTCTCGCTCCCCCCATTCCCTTGCACATGGGAAAACTGTCCAGGAGCATGCTCATAATCCTTTCCCCCTTCCATTGCAGTCTTTGCTACATAACCAGTGTCAACGGGAGTGTTGTGTGCCCCCGTCCTCACTTGGGCGGAGCCGACCTCGTGGTCGGATGTGTGAGAGTTGTAGCCGACCTGCAGCAGTGAGCACGGGGGCCACTGCAGGGGCGCCGAGCTGGAGAGCGCCTGGCTGGCCGAGTAGGAGGACACCGCCCTGGACGCCTGGTTGGCGTCCCGGATGCCTGGCCGGCGTCCTGAGAAGCAGGACGCTGAGCTGGGCGTCGCCACGACTACCCGGGCTCCTGGTCGACGTCGTGGGCGCGTGCACGGCGTCCTGGAAGGCCAGACGCCGACCTAGGCGTCTGCACAGCGAGCCTAGGAGTCTGGGACGCCGCCTTGGGCGTCTGCACGGCGTCCTGGGGGCCCGGACGCCGACCTGGGCGTGTGGTCGGCGTCCTGGGAGGCTGGACGCCGCTCTGGAGGTCTGCTCGGCATCCTGGGCGTCTGGACGCCGACCTGGGGGTTCGGAAGGCGTCCTGGGCGCCTGGATGGCGGACTGGGGACGCCGGGCATTAGTGGCCGGCTGCGGACTGTACTGGTTGACCGAGCGTGGTTGCCCAGTCGACCGGGATACCCGGGCGATGTGCGCGAGTGTCGCCAGGGTGGAGTCTGCGAGGCCGACCTCGGGGGTGGTATCCCGAGGTCGACGTGGCTGGTGGGCGCAGTCGCTGGCGTGGAGTCTGCCAGGCGTCTGCGCTGGGTACGTGACAAGGAAGTGCGCACCAACCAGCTGCGCGCGCCTGCAAAGCAGGTGCACCGTTGTCCTGCGAGTGCAACGCTGTGCAGCCGACTTGCTGCAACGTTGGCACCCCGTGGACTGCAACGTTGTCGGACCGCTACTCTGCAACGCTGGAGCGGTGCGAGCGTTGCTGCGCTGGAGCGCGGTCGACCGTGCTGCGCTGGAGGTCGACCAGCAGCCTAGCTAGCTCTGATGTAGTCAATGTTGCCAATATTGTTGCAATTATTATTGATGTTTTCCTAGTGAAACTCTTGCGAATTCTCCCCGTGAACTAGCAAGCAGCGTGAACACAAGGAAACGACTAAGTGAACGAACGCAGAGATCACACGAGCACCCGTGCCTAGCCCATAGTCTAGCTCCCGTTGCAGCAGTTATCTCCGCAACCAGCACCGTTCTCCTCTCCATCATCATCCTCACATCCGGGAGTCCACCACTTGGGCCGTTTCCAACATTTTGCCCATGCGTGTCCCGATTTCTTGCAATACTAGCAGCTGCCCTTGAACCCACGGTAGCCACCACGATGAGCATCATCTTCGTCATCACTCTTGCTCCTCAGCTTCTTCTCCTCATCATGCTTGCTTCTGTGTCGTCCACTCCCGCCTTGTCCTCGTTCACCTTTACCACGACCATTTCCTTTACGCCACTTGCTGCCCTGTACTCCGTACCCACCATCACCATCATAGTTTTGGCTCAGCTGCCTCCTCCTAAACTCCTCTAGGATTCTAGTTCGAACCCACTCAAGAGTCCAGAGGCTCTGGTTTTGAGGGAGGCTCATGCCGCTGGTGAAGACCATCCATGACTCTGGCAGCAGTAACAACATTTTCAAACACTTCATTTGCTCCGGGTAGCTGATGCAGCCAATTTGCAGTTTTGCATACAACTCTCTCATCTTGTCAAGCATTGGCTGAATCGGCTCCCCTTCACTCATCCTCAATGACGCCAACTCGCGTTCCAGCATGAGCGTTGCAACCACCAACGTTGGCGCGTGTAGTTCCTTGAGCACTTTCCAAGCTTGTGGCCCGCAATCATCCTTTTCCAGCAGATGCATCACATGCGATCTCTGGTTGAGCTCCAAGCTTTGCGATAGGAGATAGTAGCCGGCGGTAGCACGCTCGTCCCATTCTTCTTGAAGGACGGGGTCGCTCAGCCCCTTCTCTTCTCCCGTCATCAGCTTCAACAACCCGACTTGCCGGAAGTACAGCTGCATTTTCCACGCCCAATCATCGTAGCCATTGCCGTTAAACTTGTCGACAACGAAGTTCTTGAGCACGTCCTTCAACAGTGAGCTTTGGCTGGTCCGCACTCCCCTTGGCGCTGAACCACCGTCATCTTGGACTCCAGTATTAGCTCGTGCCACTGATCCTTCGTTTCTGCTCGACTCCATGGTGTTCTAACGGCAAGACGTCCAATGCCCAGCTCTGATACCACTTGCAGACCATTATTTGGGATCAAGAGGCTCTTAACACATCTTTAATCAACACTAGGTAGTCCCCACGGGGTAAGATCGAGCAGACCGCCGTTGCTTAAGTGCAGATCAAACATTTTGCCGTTGCTTAAGTGCAGATCGAGCATTTCGCCATTGCTTAGTGCAGATGGAGCATTTCGCCATTGCTCAAGTGCAGATCTAGCATTTTGCCATTTCTTAAGTGCAGATCGAGCATTTCGCCGTTGCTTAAGTGCAGGTTCGATATCGAACCGGACCGGTTTGACCGAACGGGTTCAATTTGTTGGCTGTTTTAACGAACCACGAACAGGCACCAAGCAGACCGGTTCATGAACGAGCATGTTCGGTTCAGCAGTGAACCGGTTCGGTTTCTTACGGTATAAATACGAACCAGCCGGTTTGGTACCGTGCTCATGCCTAATTACAGTGCTATGGAAGTAAGTTGGTAGAATTTTGTGCTTGACAGTTGCGATTTGAATGATGGCGTTCGGTCTTGGCACTGATTTCGCCAATTTCGCCCAACCAGCTCACCCCACCCAAACCCCACCGTACCACAAAGCACCTCCCAAACCAAATCCGCTCTCTCACTTCCGTACTGCAGCGTCCACACTAACCTAATCCTCGCGTGCTAGATCTAACTCTCCACACTCCAGCCTAAGTGGTTAGCGGAAGAACTCACCTAAAACGAAAAGTTTTAGGATAGATGTATTTAACGCGGGCATGAGTATGGTGGCTAGAGGTATTGCGAATGTTAACATTCGAGCTCAAAATTGAGCTAATGTTGTTTTTTATGACGTAGTATAAAACCAGCGCGTTGTGATGGATTTGTAGTGATGGAAGCCTTAAGAGCATGGGAAACAACTATCGGTAAAAGTTTCAAAACATTTTTTACAAACCTCAACTTACTGAACCAAAAGGGGGCTCCCTATATTGCTCAAGCCAACCTTGTTGTTGACAATTGAGCTATATTTGGAGCTCAATCGTCAAGTTACGCCATTCCGCTACTTAAGCGTTCTAGCTAGGCGTTCTCACGGTTCAAATCCTAGAAACAAGTAGGAATATTGTTTCTTATGGGTAGTTAAGGCTAGGACAGAAATTGATAAATTTCTAAGGAGATTTAATATGTAGTTTTCCTAAGTAAAAGACTCTTGCTCGCAACTCGTAGCCCTTTACTTAGTCGCAAGTAGGAAATGTGGTCGAATCTTAAGCTGCGAACTCGTTTGAAGTGCTGTGATGGGAGATCTGAACTCCTTCCACAAGCCCTAGAAGTGATAGCGAGCTTAGGGGGGAGATGGTGGAGCTTCCCTTTTTTTTTTTTTTTTTTTTTTTTTGGACCCAACTTGTGCAACAAAAATGTCACACTGGATGGTTCCATCAAGTCTCAAGCGTTTATCAACAGCAACCTGCAATTTTGAATGGAGCCCAAAGTTCGAACCTGTCCGAGTTCGGGTCGAACACCTTAGTGTTCTACCCTAACTGAATATGTTTTAAGAAATATTCTGAGTTCAAAGTTCGAGTTCGGTTTGACAAAGGTGCATGTTTGAATGAGTTCGCGTCAAACGGGTTCGAGTTCGATCGTTGCTCAAAGGCACCTAGTAGACAACTTTCTATTACTGTTAGAACTTAGGAGCTAAATTAGTAAATCTCGCGTAAATTTCGAAATTTGGGTGGGGGGTATGAGCTATGGGCTAAAGATTGGCGCTAGGGTTGGGCTGAGCCCAATGTCAAAATCAGTGCTGTGACGAGTGGTAAGCGGTGGTGAGTTGGTTGCGAATTTTCATTTCAACAATTTTGTTGGGGAGGACGGAGTTCCTATCTTTGCTTAGTCGGTGGCAAAATCGCCGATCTGCACAGATCGGCGGGCGAAATCGCCGGTCTGCGCATATCGGCAGGCAAAAGCGGGTATCACGACCCGCCTCCTGGTCAGCCCAACCCGGGCCCGGGTCCTATCGACCCGCCTCTATAAGGCCGGGCTGGGTTGGGATTCAGGATTATTGTACCGGGGGAGAACCGGCCCGACCGAGACCCAGTCGGGTCAGGCCAGATCGGAACGGGTCGGGCCGGGTCAGGCCGATTGCTCATCATGCCTACTCAAACCCAGTGCCGTGTTCCTTCTGCCATGGCTTCTGGACCACCTCTCTCTACCCCCTTTCTTTTTGACATCTCGTTTTTCCTATGAACAGTCCAGCCCTAGCCCATTTGATCCTTCTTTATTTAGTCCGCTCCCCTTTTTTCGGATCTGAAAAGCAGAGACCCCTTCGCCTCCATTTTCCATGGCCTTGTTTACATCTCCTTTTTCAAATGGACTGTCCTTCGTTGGCCCATTAAATCCCTTTCTATTCAGACCGCTTAACTTTGATCGGATCTGGGAAGCAGAGACACCTACACCTTGTTTATTTGCCCCTGCTGACTTTGACATTCCACATTTTTTTGTCTTTGCCTCCCTCACTCCCAACATATCTTCACATGAAGTTTAGGCATCTTTATGAAAATCAGATCAGTGGCTCTATCCCTGTGGAGATTGGCTCAATGAGCAAGTTGGAGCTTTTGTAAGAGTTGTTTACATCAGGTTCAAGAATTTCCTGTTCTCTCTATATGTATTTCTAAGCAACTAATCTTCAATCCCAGGCGCCCCATTTTCACACCCCTTCAATTGAATCTTAACCTTTCTTCGCCATCCTCTCTTCTGCTGTCCTCACCATGCACCGTTGCTGGTCTGTTGTGAAGCAACACTAGTCACAGTGTAATAGAATATTATCACTTGGCAATAGAAATAATCATCTTCTCATACCTAGTTCATGTTTTGAGAACGATGATAAATAAGTCAAGTAGTATCAGCAACCATCTTTGTTGGTTGACCGACCCAGTGTTGGTGGTCAGGCCAGATCTCTCCCCTCCTTGCCATGAACATCTCTCTCTCCTCGTTGACACCAACAGCTCTCTCCGCTCCAACATGCTGTCAGGATCCTTGCCCTCCTCGATAACAGGGCTCGCAGCAGTTTCAGAATTGTAAGGGATCAAATGGTTTGCTAGAAATGCGGTTGCTCTTGACTCTTCTGGTCAACCTTACTAGTACTTTGACCTCTGTTTTAGCCCTGACTGTGACTGTGAAGAGGTACATCCAAAAGTAGGAAGTACGGTGTTGTCCTTCTGCTGCATTGAGCAAGGTGCCTGAGAGTGGAAGGTGCGTAAAAGTGAAAGGAGTATGAGAGTAGGCTGCTGTGCTACGGCTGCTGTGTTGTTGAAAACAAAATCTGCCTGGCTCATGGCTTGTAACGAGTCAAAAAGGCTTGTGATGATCCAGGCAGTAGGCCCACCAGCCTCTTATCCCCGTGAGTGGCACTCGTAATTGTGAGAAGTCAGAAGCGCAACAAAGAACCAATGATTAGATTCGGAATGAGGGAGGTATACAAAGTTGAGAGAGCGAATGGGGGGCTGGTTCGGACCTTGGCCAACATTATTGGCCGCAACTCGCAAAGTTTGGTTGGAAAATGACCAAAGGGTCAAATAATCTTGGCCAACCAAACCTTGGGGGTCAAATAATTGGGCAAACGGTGAGTGAATCCAACCCCAACTAGGGTAGGCATGCGCATAATGCCCGACCAGGTCGGGTTGGGGTCGGGCTAGGCTTGAGAAAGCGGCGAATACGATGGCTGGTTGATGTGATCATAACGAACATGTTCTAGACGAATATGGTCGTGCTCGCATTTTCAGCAGCCCTCGTTATCAATCACATCCACCAGCTTATTTGCTCTGGTGGGGGAAATTAGGCTTTTCTCTTGTTTCTTCCCTAAAATGCCCTAAATCACAATGGTGCCAAAGCCAAACCAATCAAGGATAGTAGAAAATGGTTGCGCCACCAACCTAATTGTCTAGTGTTGAAGGTGAAATTAGTGGTGGACGGAGTAGTCTAATCGAGGGTGCGGTAAGGGACTTAGCTAAAAAATCGAGCTAAAAAATGAGCTCGGCATGCCGTGATGAACCGAGCACAAGCGTGTTCGCCTTCAACGCTTTTGGAGAATAGAATAAGTGTCTGGTTCGCCTGTTCGCCTGAATGTTCGACTTTGGGTTGGGCCGACCATTTTATATTGCCGATCCAGTTGGGTCGGGTTGGGAATACCCGGCGGGGTCGGGTCGTCCCGTATGCCAGGTCGGGTCGACCTGGCTACCTGGGTTGGGGGTAGACAAACGATCCGGCCAATAATCCAAATCGGGTCCGGTACATGGCGGGTCTGCGCGTATTGGCGGGCGAAAATGCCGATCCGCGCGTATCGGTGGCCGAAATCGCCGTTTGCACCTATCGGTAGACGAAATCACCGATTTGCGAGTATCGGCGGGCGAAAATACCGATCTGCAATTATGGGCGGGCGAATGTGCCGATACGCGCGGATCGGCGGGCAAACATACAGGCACTGTCAAAATCGGGTATAGCAACCCGACCCGCCCCCGAGTCAATCTGACCCGGGGGCGGTCAGGCGTGACCCGGTCCTTCAATGCCGAGTCGGGCGAGGCGGGTACCCGGTTGGGTCTCACCATGTCTCACCGAGTTACACCACCCGCTTGTGGGCGCCTCCATTCCCTTGCAAAGTTGGCATATACGCGTTTCGCGTATCATACACTAGCGTACGATACGCTGGCGTATATATATATATATACGCCATACGCCAAGGCTCTCGTACTGCAGATACGCTAAAATACGCTGGGCGGGCAGGTAGAACGTTTTCCCGGGCAGGTGGAAAAAACAAAAACACATCTCAATAATTTATTCATAAATATCCCGAAATACATTTTTGTGGCTACTTCTCCCCATACATCTCCACCCTCTAGCTAGCCTCCCCACAACCTATTTCCTTGCGGGGCTATTCCACCACCACCCCTTCCTCATACTCATCCGCCAGAACTGCATCCTCTCCCTCCTCTCCCTCCCCACCAATCATTTCATCCTCCTCGTCTATGTTATAGCCCGGGGGGGAAGGGGCATCCGGGACATTCCCGGGCACAACCGTGCTGCCCCCATCCTTCCTTGTTATACCAGTTGCGCACAACGTTTCACTTGTGCGCAACGTAGACGAGGTCCGCACATTTGGTGGACCCGAGCCAGCTGCAGCGGGCGGTGTGGACGCCTTCCCACACCGCCCAGCCACGTTCGCATGAGGAAGCGGAGACGGGATGAGTGAGCACCCAGCATGCAAGGGTGGCAAGCTCAGGGTACTCGGTGCTGTGCCACGACCACCATTCCTCATCCATCACGGCAGCTCTGAAGATCTCGGCTGCTGCCTTCTTCTGCCCCATTGCCCACCCTTTCCATTTGTCGCTGAGAACCAGCTGCGCCAGCCCACTCCTCACCTCGCATAGCCAGGACACAGCTGTGTCCCGAATCTGATCCCGCAGGCATGAGCACTTGTTTCCCCTTCCCCCCCGTCAGGCTCGGGTTCTTCATGAAGGCAAGGGTGAAGTCGTGGTTGCGCACGAAGTTAATCATCTCCCCTGCCTTCACCACGACCACCTTCGCCCATGACATCTTTCCCACATCTTCCATTATCAGGTCCAGAACATGCGTGGCAAAAGGCACGTGCTCAATGTGCGGCCATGTTGTCGCAATCTTCTTGTCTGCCACTGCATAGCTGTTGCTGCTATCAGTGCAAACCGCAACCACATTCTCCGGCCCCACCTTATTTATGACGGGGCAGAGAATGTTGGCGATATACCTCCCCGTCTTCAGCTCCATGTGGCTGTTGACGGGAATAGAGTGTTGGCCCCGACATCGCTTGGGCGAAGCCGACTTCATGGTCAAGTGCATGGGAGGTGCAGCCGACTGCTCTGCAGAGTTCGACGCAAGCCTGGGTGTGCAGGTCGACAAGGTGGTCGACCTGCGGGCAACCGTGCGATGCCGCCGTTGAGAGGAGCCGGCGGCCTACTTCGACGGGGAGGTCGACGAAGGTGGTCGTCGAACTATGCGCGGGACTTTTGAGAGGTGGTCGAAGGAAGGGTCCGTCGACCAGGGTGGTCCTCGACGGGAGTCATGGTCGACGAGGGAGGTCGTCGACAAGGGCACCGAGGCAGTACCCGGTCTACCAAGTCACCTCCTCGACGAGGTTCTGCGGAGGCACGCGAGGCTCATCGAGGCTGCGATGGCGAAGGCGACCTCGGGCTGGTATCTCGAGGTCCACGTGGAGCGTTAGGCGCAACCATTGGCACGTGGCCGACTTGGCGCCTGCGCGACGGTAGAGAACATGCTCGACCGCCGCCGCGCACCCGCGAAGTGGGTGTGCACCTGCGTTACTATCATCTGCGGATTCAGCGCTGGCAGACCGCTCTGCTGCAGCGTTGGCAAGCCGCGTTGTCGATCTGCTCTGCTGGCAGGTCGTGTTTCTGCAGTGTTGGCGCGGTGCCTCTACGCAACGCTGGCAGATTGTTGACTTTGATACGCTGGGAGCCAACCTGCTAGGTTGCTAGGCTCTGATGTAGTCTGTCGTTGCTTTTGCCATCATTCTGTAATCCCAACTTTGCTTGTGAAACTCTTGCCAATTCTTTCTGTGAATGTGCAAGTGCTAGAGTACGCAGGCAAAGCTACGATCACACTCACAACCCGTGCCAACCTTGTAGTCTAGCTCCAACCGTTGTAGACCCCGCGGATTACCTTCAGAATTAGTAGCCGATTGCTCACTTACCTATGTCGTTCGTAGGGCAGTAGCCCGTGCAGACCATGACGCCTAACCCCGGTGAAGCTGGCAGTGTAGAGGATACGCTGGAGGCATGGTTAGCTCATGCAAGGAAACGCCACGTAGGTGGTGAGTTCGGGATGACTTAACCCTTAGAGGTGCTCCTCCTAGGCATCCGTGCGCAGTGGGCGATGGAACACCCCTCCGGACCTGCTTCTCCTCGACCGTTGCAAAACGAAGGTGGCATCAACGAGGAGGTCGACGGCGGTGACCAAGTCGGCAGTGACCAGGGCACGAGGGTCAGAGGAGTGGTCAGAGCTGCCGACAGCGACGTCGGCAGGAACCAGGCACGAGTGCAGTGGTCAACGACGGCCGCAGGCAGTTTGCGTGTCCACGTCGAGGGACGACGTCGCTCTCCTCAGCAAAGCAGTGGGATGCCCACGTTGATAACCATGTGACGGCGGGCGGGATCGCATTGGCGTATTGGTACTTCAAATTCTCGCTGGACCAGATAGACGTGCCCGAGTTGCTACAGGATCGACAGGACTTCATCACGTGGAGGGAGTCCATCTAGCCCCAGCTGGAGATCGTCGGGCTGAAGGGTTTCGCCGATGGCGACATGCCGACGCCCAATGAGGACGACATCGAGCTGCGGGCGTAGTTCCACGCGGATCCCCTGCTTACCTGGTCATCTTGAGCTGCGGGCGAAATTCTACGCTAGTGCAGATCGCCCCAAAGCCGTGTCGATTTCGATTGGATGCCGGCCACCAGGCGTGGCGGTTCATCTTGTCAACGGGAGCTAGACTACGGGGAAGGCACGGGTGTGTGAGTGATCGTTGCGTGTTTGTTTGTGTTCTCTCTACGCACACATTCATAGGGAGAATTGGCAAGAGTTTCACAAGCAAAATTATACAATGCATTGGCAACAATGACTACATTAGGTGCAAGACTGCCTCGCGCACAGGGCAGGTCAGCCTCCAGCGCAGCACGGTCAACCGCATTCCATCGCAGTAAGGTCCGCACCGCTCCAGCACTGTGGAGAGGCATCTTGCCAACAATGCAAGTCGACGTCGTGCCAACGCAGCAGCAAGGCAAATGTACAGCATTGCACCCGCATGACAGAAGCACACCTACTTCGCAGGTGCTCGCAGTTGGATGGCGTGCTGTACACCGTCACATGCATAGCGCAGACGCAAGGTCGACCACGTGCCATGACGGCGTTTGATAATTCACGTTGACCTCGTGATACCACTCCGAGGCTGGCTTCGCCAGAACCACTTGGACGACTATCGTGCACCTCCGCAGATCCCCGTTGCCCAGGTAACTCGGTCTACCGGGCAACCACGCCGACCAAGTGCTGCTCCTCGTGCCCATCGACTGTCCAGGTCGACGGCCACCTTTTGCCGACTTCACGAAGTTGGCCACTCCCCCAGGTCGACCACTTCTAGTCGGCCACGTCGACCAGGGTTGAAGTCGGCCGCCGGCGCCCGTCGTCGGCGGCTTCGCAGTGGCCCCCCCGCAAGTCGACCAAGCCTGTCGACCTGCAGCAGGTCGGCTGCACCTCTCACACACCCGACCACGAAGTCGACTCCGCCCAAGCGAGGACGGGGCCAACAGACAGCTCCCGTTGACACTCACGATGGGCGAGCAGGAATCGGCGAAGGACTACTGCAACCGAGCTCGACGGATCCTGGCCGACATGCCGATGGCCGGCGTCGACTTGACGGCATCATAGATCACATACGTTGTCCAAAGCCTCCCGAGCCGCTACAATTTAATGCGCTGGAAGTTGACGATGCCTGGCGTGCACGAGTCGCTCGAGAAGGATACCCTCACCAGCCACATCATCAAGGATGAGGTGACGCAGCAGGCAGAGCGGCCCACAAAGCTCCTTCTGCAGGCAAACTACGCCGTTTCGAAGATGCAGAGTCGTCAGCAAGGGTCGCATGGGAAGCAGGGCGGAGGTGGTAGCGGAGGTGGGAGGTCAACAAAGGACGCCAACCAGAAGAAGTCAACTCGGGACAGCTTTCGAAATGGCGGTGGCCGACGGTGGGAGTGCTGGGTTTGCGGCGAACCTGACCATCTCTCCTTTGAGTGTCCTGACCGCGACGACTCTGACGACGACAACCATGGAGGCCGCGGAAGGTCGACCAATGGTCGTCGAAGTCGGGTTGAGAGCTCATGCAAGGAGAAACAGGCATCGAGGACGACACTGTCGACGAGGGACGACGACTCCTCCAGCGGCAAAGGCCGAGGCGATGGGGAGGCGTCGTGCTGGATGGTCAGCGTTATGGAGCCGATAGTCTCGCTGGCGCCGGAAGCCGGCGAGGACTTGAACGCGGTCGCGGCCGCCGTACAAGCAAACCCGACGTTGGTGCTGCTCAACAGCGGGTGCTCGCGTTACCTCATAGGAACAAAGGAGGCCTTCGTTGACATGGCGCCGAGCGGCGACGTGAAGCATGTGCGTGGCTTCAACAGGGCTCTGCAGACGGTCAAAGGCCGCGGCACCGTCGCTTTGCAAGGGGAGGCCGGGAAGGGGGTCTACATCCCAGACGTGCTCGACATCTTGGGCGTGCAGGCGAACCTGCTGTCTGCCGGCCAGCTAAAGGACAACGGCGTGAAGCTGCAGGACGACGGCAACGAGACGCTGCTCGTGTCGAGTTCAGGCGACGTACTCGGTCGAGCACGCTGCACTGGCCGCGTACTCAGCACCGACCTTCAACCCAGCTCGACGAAGCCATTGTCGAAGTCAACCGAGGTGGTGGCTCTGCGGACAATCGCTTCTGCGACAAAGTCGACTCCCAACCAGTGGCACGCGAAACGCACGTCGAAGTCGACACGATCAAGAGCTCGGCGAAGCATGAAGTTGCCACCGGCCTTGACATCAAGCCGCCTACCGGGGCTGACTTGCCATGTGTCTCGTGCGTCGGCGGGAAGCTCGCGCAGCACACCTTCCCTGACAACGGTTCGGACGCAGAAGAGGCCCTGGTTGTCGTGCACATCGACCTGTGCGGGCCATTCTGGGTGGCTGCCAACCTGTACTTCCTCCTGCTGAAGGATTGCAAGACGCGGTATGTATGGGTGAAGCCCATCGCCAAGAAGATCGACATGCTGCGGGTGTTCGAAAAGTGGCTGCTGGTGGTGGAGCGGCAAACCAAGAAGTCGGTGCTGATGCTCCGCTTGGACCGCAGGGGGGAGTTCCTTGGGTGGAAGTTCACTGACTTCGTCGACGGGAAGGGCTTCATCCTCGACTTGACCTGTCCTTACACCCAGGAGCAGAACGGTATGGCCGAGCGGAAGATGCGTACACTAGTCCAGGCCGTGCGAACAATGCTGCTGCACATGGGAGTGAAATACCACTGGAGAAACCTCGCCCTGCGGCAGGCCGTCTGGGTGTGCAACTGATTGGAGCGGCCGACGACGCAGCCGGGGACAACACCAAACCTGTTGCTGAACGTCAAGAAGGCCGACCTTACGCTGGCGCGGGTGTGGGGCTGCATGGTGCAGTTCATGGTCCCCGAGCAGCAGCGCGGTGGGAAGCTAGCGCCGAAGACTCGCTGGGGAATTCATTTGGGGGTGTTGTCGGAGAGCAAGGGTTTAGGGTTTAGGGGTCCTCGACCTCACCGACAAGAACATCGTCATCACGGTGGAGGCGATCTTCTACGAAACGCTTTCTTGGAAGTGTGGAAGGCGAAGTATGGGCAGGTGTCGGAGCGGACGCAGGCCAACCAGCCGACGGACACCTGGACAGCGACATTCTCGCTGCTCGCGGAAGTCGGCAAGCCTACTGACGAGGACGTCAAGGACGTCCCATCCCATCCTCCTCACTCTGTTCCCGCGAGTACTCGTTTATTCGCGTGTAATAAAATTACCCTCGACTAACGTAATTACTCGTTAATTGCTTTCGAGAACGAGTAAACCGCTAATACTCGATTACTTGTCGAGAAATACTCGACTCGACAAAATCGATTAATTTCTCGGAAACAGCCAATTCTTTACTCGGCCAAAATGAGTAATGAAAACGAGTCGAGTAAAATACTCGACTCGTTGCGCATGTCTACTATAG